CCACACAAGATCTGCTTACCGTCTTTGTCAATTCCTTTCAGTGATGTCAATGTAATAAAATATAATTGAGTTTTCAGTCAAAGCGTCTATTATTATTTACAAATCTTAACAGTGTTCAATACAAAAAAAATGGAAGAGCAAGATATTATTAAATGTTATTCCTAGATCTATAGAATTTATATTATTTGCAGTTTCTAATGATGGACCATATTCTACCACTACAACTACAACAGGCCGCAGACTAAAGGCTCAGAGAAGTTAAATTAGCAGGCTTCCGAAAAGGCAGATCATGCACTAAGCATACCTTTCATCCTGCAAACCATTCTTGAGCAAAGCCTGGAATACCACGAAAGGCTGAGATAACTTTTGTAGATTTTTAGAAAATCATTTGATGGCGTCCATTGCCAATCATTCTGGAAAATTGCGGTACTAGGTCTGTATATGACGTCCAGCAACAATTAATTTGTCCGAACTCAGCAAAATCTCTACAGCAAATCGAGCTGCTGTATTAGAATAGATATAGAAGACTTCTTCAACATCGAGACCGATATAAGACAAGTCTGTATCTTATCTCTATTTGTCTTTCTGCTAGCTATCAACTATGTCAGGAAAAAAGAAAACATGTATCAGCCTGCATTCGAATCGGTATCCCATAGCATGAACTGAACCTACGGACATGGGGAATACAATCAAATGTATGACAGAGAACCTCGATAGAGACGCACTCAAAATCGGCCTCCGGATAAATCTTGTTAAAACCCCCGTCAAAATTGGGCATACAGAGCTTGAACAGATAGTTGACCTACTTAGGCAGCTTTATCACAAATATCTCACGATGTTGTTTTATGGATAGGAATAGCAGGAGACGCCTTCCAAAAAAACTACGACTTATCTGAGTGAAACAAATCAGTCAGCCTTCTTATTAAAATTATCGCTCGAACGGCCCCCCACGCTTGCGAGACGTGTTTTGTAAAATGGTTTACATGTTCCGGATGTTCCTTCAGAGTTGAAGATAATTACTTCCTATTCCGAACCTCCCGCAGGACGACGGGGGATGGGAGCGGCATGGTTTGGACCCTGGACCATCGATAAATCTGAATGACAGTCCAGCGCGCAAACCGCACGACCAGGCAGCCATCCTAGAAGTAATCCATTAAGGTTGAAAAGAGCAGACTGAACGTGACTCAACCGCGATTGCTGAGAAAGATCTTATATAAATAACATATTATACTGAGCTCGTGTCACCAATAGAGACGTTCTTTCTCACACAGGCACTTGTCCCCTGGGTGAATTGGGGACCGAACGTCGTATGAGATTCTCGGGACATCTCCTTATATGCAAAATGGAACACGTTTACCAAAGTCAGCTATAAATGGAAAATTGAGGATTTTGCGGTAAGCTGCTTGTCAAAGATCAAATAACTAAATGTCCCTAATTTTTATTTGTTTCGATGTCACTTTTTAGTTGATTTTAGACTTTTGATGCCAGAAGATAGAATAAAATTATTCTTTTTGGCGTTTCGATTATATTCTAAAATGATTTGTCAAGTAAGACTTGTTGATAAAACCGAACTACAAGGTTAATTGAATATGGTAGGTTGATATTTGTATCAACTTGAATTAAAGTGCTAAATATTTAATTAACATGACCGTGTAGATGAATATATTGTATAGTTGTAATTTAACGAACAGATCCCGTTCTGATCTACAGTTGAAACCTCTTAATATAGAGTGTGCACAAACACTTCTTAGGCCCATCAATTGTAGCATTCTTTTCTGCACACAATTTTTTTAATGAAACGCCTTTCCCCAAACAACATACTTCCCGAGCCCTTGTATCTTCTACTGGAACGGCTGACCCTACACAGATACAAGGTCTCTCAGAGAGCTCAGACGTAAATGAGTATTTCAGAGAAATAGAATACATTGAAAATACTGTAAAGATAATTTTTTATTATTAATTGTAAAAAAACAACAACGAAGAAATGATAATCGATTTTCGTAGGGAAAAGAAGGAAAATAATATTGTTTCTGTAGCTGGAGAGACTATTGAAATAGTGCAAACCTTTAAATACCTTGGTACTATCCTAGACAATAAACTAAATTTTACTCCAAATAGGCCTACTGATTATATCATCAAAAAAGGGCAGCAAAGATTACGATTACTAAGAAAACTGTCCTCGTTTAATGTTAGCGAAAAGGCCTTGGATATGTTTTATCACGCTCACATCTGCGATATTTTAAGTTTCAATATTACTGCCTGGTATTGCAATCTGAACATTAAAAATAAACTTTATAGAATCCTAAATGCTGCTGGTAAAATTATTGGCAAAAAACAAACCCCATTTGGGCAATTGTTTGAGACAAACATCTATAAAAAAGCTAACAAGATCCTCAAAATAAAGAATCACCCTTTGTGTCAGGATTTTGTGATTTTACCATCACAAAAGAGATACAAGACACCGATAGCAAAGACAAACGGACACAAACACTCATGTTCCCCTGGCAATCAAATCATTAAAAAAGAACAATCTGATATAAACTTTGTCACATGTAAATTATGAGTGCGTCTGGTGTGAATGTACACTTTGGTTTCTTATAGTTATGTTTTTTTGTTTGGTGTAATGCACACATTGTAAGACTAATTTCCATACGGACAATAAAGATTATTATTATTATTATAACCTTACGCATTTCTGGTTAGTTTAACCTGAATGAATCTTTTTATTGATATTCCGTGATACAACCAGCATTACAATGACATCGCATTTTTTGGGGCATCTTCTAATAGAAAGCCTGCTTCTTTCCTAACCACGAACATTTAGGGAGCCCTATATTTTGTTTTATTTGCATCCCTAAATTGAAAGGTAAGTAAAGCAAAGTTTGAAACAAAGTGAAATTTAAACTTCTTTGAATCTCCTGTTGCAACCCGTACCACACATTTTGGATCCATTAATTAAAGAAGTCCTGCTGATAAATAAATCATTGAAGCGGAATAGTTTGAAAAATGAAACATTACTACTATTCGCAATTTAGTCCACTCTTTACACATTTTAAAATAATATTTTGTCTTTAATTGATCTAGAGACGCACCTTTTATAGAATATACATCCCCCACCAGAAAATTGGATTTTTTATTTTTTTTTATTATAAAAGAGGCCCACTTGTAGCCTAGATCTAGTATTTTATAATGGTTGCTACACAAACATATGAAGAATAAATATATCAATTTTTTAATTCAATTTAGCTTAACCTTGACTTATCTAAACCAATGTATAGTTACCTCAAATGGTTGGTTGGTTGCCTGGTCGTGCGGTTTGCGCGTTAGACCTACATCCGATGGTCTTGAGTTCAAACCCTGTCCACTTCCATCCCCCATCATCCCGAGGGAGGTTTGGACTAAGAAGTACACTATCTTCAACTCTGAAGGAACATCCGAAACATGTAAAACAGTTACACATTATCATTAACTACAGTCTTGGCATTTCTAGCTGTAGTCATTTTCTCCACACATACGATTTCATAGATATTTTGTGTTCTATGCAAAAACACATTTCATAATCACACTGCTCTAATGATAATCCCACACATTCACTCTGATAATTATTAATAATAAAATCATTACATTGTTAATATTCGTATGTTTTCAATGAAATGATTGTTATATTGTTCAGTGTCAGCATGTTATTGTATGATAATCTAATTGATTGTTTTATGAAAGGCCCATCTCCTAAGGCACTTAAAATTAAGAAAGAAGCCTTTCCCTTTGGATAAGTGTCCTAAAGGGCACTGTTTGTGTTGCATAAGTTTCCACTTAAATCATGTATTAAAATATATTTGACATATATATATATATCCGCTAAATGAATTCTTTATTTTTTAAACCAAAATTAAACATTTTCTTTAAATCTTTAGCACTTTGTAAAACAGAAAACACTTGACCTAGTAATACAACTATTTTTTAAATTATATTAGAAAAAAGAAACATTGGCATAAGCACTATGGACGTTTACATTGTAATTGAAATATAATGTGTTGGGTTGTTTAAATTTTTCCACAGGCCAACTATGCTGTAGTTTGTCTATCACTGAGCTATACTAGACATTTCTGTAAGGTATTGTTTGGGCTCTTCCTTTCCCCCCTCATTAGTGTTGTATTGTTTCAATCAATAAGAAGTTTGTTTGTTTACTCTAGATCAATAAAAAGTTGTTTTCACCTATAATGTTAATAAATACTGGAATTATTTCTTTTTATTGATTTGACTTAGATGGCAAGGACTTCTTCCTCACAAGTATTTATCCACTATTGGACTAGGACTAGATAAAATTATTTTATAACTAGTGAGTCAACTTTTAGTTAAAAAACAAAAAAATGCTTCTTTAAATTTCTAAGTCACAACATTGAAGAGCTTGGTCTTTAAAAAAAATAAATATATATTTGCTTTACATGTCCTGGATAGTCCTTCAGATTTGAAGATGATTACATCCTAGCCCAAACCTCTTGCAGGATGGCAGGGGATCATGGCGGCAAGGTTTCAACCAGGGACCATCAAGCCAACTGAGTGCATACCATACGACCAGGCAGCCATCCAGTAACAGTATCAATACAAACAATAAAACACAAAGCATTATTATAATTTTCTTATCAACAGTTTTGTATTATTGATAGAGAAACAAAAAAGTATTCAGTATTTCAAACAAAAAACAAAGTCAATAAATACATGTAACAAGAGTAATTAAAAATTTTGCAGTGATCAATAACAAAACACATCTTGCACATAACTGAATCATATTTCTATCAAATCTTTGAATGTTATTGCTCCTTCTTAGCTTCTTCATCAAAATCATCTTCCAAAAATCCTGGTAAATCAAATGCAGACATCTGGATACCTCCAATTTTGTAAAAAATTGGCAAAATTATCTTCCTCCATTGGCTGTGCCATCTTAACTCTTGGAAAGAAGCCAAGTTTTCTCTATAGAGTTTTAGCCTACTAGCCATCTTTGGAAATCTAAACAAAAGGTCCTTAAAGATAAAAATATAATTGATAAAGAAAATAATTTCAAGACTAATATGAGTGAAAGCATGCCTGGGCAAAATAGTATGAAACAATTAGTTAGAGATAGCAGTACATTAACTTTTCCTTATCATACTATTTGAAGTTATGTAGGAAATAAGATAGTTAAGAATGTACAGCTTATACAGTGATTGAAAAGTCAATAATTTCTTTAATTGCCTAACCTTGAGTTGGGTAAAAAGTTCCTCACTGTCATGAAATAAAAGGCCATTTTCATCATGGTGAACAAGTTCTCTGATGCTTTAATGGCAAGAACAAAAACAACAACATATGAATTAATATGTATTCAAAGAAGTTCATAGACTCAAAGAATTGACTCAACAGGTTGAAAAATAAGAAAAAATAATTATAAGTTTCGTCATATCTTCCATTTAATTACTAGGGCAACACAAGAGTTACTTCACCTATGTTTGGAAGGATGCAAAGATTTTCCTGTAGTCGTTTTGAATGAAAGCATTTTCAAAGTTAGGAAAGGATTACTACTCTTGAAGAAAATGACATGAGAAGAAAAGTGAAGAAAATGACATGAGAAGAAAAGTGAAGAAAATGAGACCTGTTTTAGTTCCTGCATTACTGTGGTTGGATTATAATGGGAGGTACAAGTAGAAGAGAGAACTCAGAATCATCTCAAACATCATGACAACTCCACAAGAAAATAATTGGCCAAAATTAGCTTCTGATGATGATCTGATAGAAGAATATTTATTTCATCCAGTCTACTTCACCCACTATTAAAAATTTAAGGCAATGAAAGTATGATGGAAGTTGTTTTTCATAATTCTAATGAAAAATAATTTTACTTCATAGAAAGAAATGCTTATTTAAATAATATCCTTCAAATCTGTAATAAGATAAAAGATTAGATTAGCAAAGGCAATAATATGTTTTCAAATATAGTTCTATACCACTGAAAATTAACAGCACAGACTGGCAGACCACATCCAAACATGTCAACAACTTTCATAGGCAAGTCTAAACCACTGGAAGATTTATGAAGACACACACCAATATCAGCAGAACCTGAAACAAGGCACAAATACATCAGCTAAATCTAAAACAAGACATATAAATACATCAGCTAAATCTAAAACAAGACACACAAATACATCAGTTAAATCTAAAACAAAACACACAAATACATCAGCAGAACATGAAACAAACACACAAATACATCAGCTAAATCTAAAACAAAACACACAAATACATCAGCTAAATCTAAAACAAGACACACAGATACATCAACTAAATCTAAAACAAGACACACAAATACATCAGCGAAATCTAAAACAAGACACACAGATACATCAGCTAAATCTAAAACAAGACACACAAATACATCAGCAGAACCTGAAACAAAACACAAATACATCAGCGAAATCTAAAACATGACACACAGATACATCAGCTAAATCTAAAACAAGACACACAAATACATCAACTAATCTAAAACAAAACACACAAATACATCAGCTGAAATTGAAACTATTCTCATGTACATCAACTGAATGTGTCCCTAGAGTAACACATGTAATGTTAGGAAATATTGTATCATTACATAATTTGTAGCAAATTATTTTTAAAAATATTTACCAAGCATTAAGGGATAGTCTTCAGCTGCCAACCATGGAAGACAAAACTTTACTTTTTTCCAATTGTAATCAGCAATTTGTTGAGTGTAAAAAATTTTCTGTGGACCTTTACCTGTGATAAAAAAAAAAATGAAAATTGTATTTGTTACATGACTGCTATAAAAATTTTGATTGCTGATCCCTAAACTTTTCTGATTAAGTGCACCATATAGTTAGTGCTACACTGAACATTAGGATGGCACAATTGTGCCATACTTTTGTGAGCCACTGCTGTTAATTCATCAATTCAATGACTGTAATTTTTTAAGAGCCTACAATGGTGGCAAGAGAGTTTTAATTTCACTTGATTGAAGATCAAGAAGTGGTTAAACTTAAATACATATTTGATATATCTTTCTGCCTACCAGAGATGACACAAACCAAATCAGGAAAAGTATCTGTGCTGGGCAGTTGATCATATTCTGAGGAAAGGAACACAAATGAAAGGAAACACTAGAAACTGGAAACAAAAAAAGTGTGACTTATTCTTGTGATAACAGTGATATGTCTTGTAACAGTTGATATTGTTATAAACCTGGGAGTGACACAGATGGGGGAAGTGCTGTGTGTTTTTAGCCGATGCAAATCATCCTAGGCCAGCGCAAGACATGCAGTCAACCGTGACGAGTGACAGTACACGCCAGTTCAGCAAAGACTTGTGTTATAAATAATGTGCACGCAAGTCACTGCCAATGTGATCAACCAGTGGTCAAGCGACGTTTCATCTGATTTTAGAAGGCATGTAGGAACCCTATATAAGAGCAAGTGTGTTAGAGTCAAGACACTTCATGTTACCTCGCAATGTGACCAGTACAAGGCAAAGTCAAAACCAGCACGGTGTGTGAAGCCAGTCCGGAGCAGAGGCTAGGTTTTAGGACATTCAGTGTAATGTTGTTGCCAACTGTACAGTATGTGCGATGTATTTGAAATTAAACTGTTACTGTTACTTTGGAGCCCTGAGTTGTGAAGTTCTATAAGTTTGTTGTGTCATGTGGTGCAGTTTGCAGAGAGCCTGGATAGGGAGAATTGGTACAATATTCTTTGAATGTTAACTTACTTTTCAAAGCATCTAACAAAAGACCAAAATCTTCATCCTCTGTGGACAAAAACAGAATAGTACCTGCAGTAATATTCAAATGATGCCATCACAATACTCTATACAGTTACAAGGTTATACAGTAAAACTACAGGGCAGAACAAACTGTTAACAGAACACTAAACAGAAAAATACAATTAATTAATAAATTGCTAAAAAAAAGCTGTTTATTCAATATTTACCAGGGTTTAAAATAGTTTTGAGCATATCTGAACATACCTGTCCAGCTGGTACTGCTCATTAATAATGCTGGTCTACCATCCACTTTTGCTACAGCTCCATCTGTATTCTTCTGTGTAAATCTTGTGTGATCTATGGCATTGTCTTGACTGAAATTGAGTTTCAAGATGATTTGTCCACATAAATAATGAAGAAACTGGTGCAATCGCTAGAATAGCAATTTAATTCATGACACATTAGAAATTATACAAAGTGAAATAAGGAGCATACAACCTTGCAAAAACTGGGTATTCTTTACTCAGTCTGCAGAAGAGATTATGCTGCTGCTCTAAACTTATGGTCTGGAAGAGTTCACTTGGTTTGTCATGAGCAGTGATCGCTCTATCAAGAATATGGAATATACAAAGTTATATTTCATTTCAAATGTTATTTTTGTTTATCAACTAAGAATGTTATGCTTGTTTTTATACCTAATATTCCATTGAGACAATAAATCCTCTTTCATTGCATTAGTAACACAGAAATTGTAGGAAGCCAGACCACCACATTTCTTTTCATACCTGTTAATTTATATACAGTCAAGTGAAACATACAAACATCAATGTGAATTGGATCAAGTATCTTTAAAAAGTACAGATTTTAAAAAGCATACAAAGCTAATAAGAATACACTATTACTAAATTTTAAAATTTTATGTTCTAACCATTTAGAAAAAGTTACAAGTGGATGTCCAGGCCTAAGAGCCATTGCTAAAATAGTGTATCCATAGTTATGCCAGTCAATGACCAGAGTTGAAAACCTTATTCTGCTCACTATATATGAAATAAGCATTGTTGGAATGGAAGGTGGATTCTACTGGGAGAAAGTACAACAAGAGGAAATGAATTAAACTGATTATTAAAAAAAAAAGCAAACATTTAATTCTAATAAAAGTTCAACAATAAATAAAAAAATAGTATGTTTGGGTTAGTTCAATATAAATGTAAGGAATGTGTTTAGGACTGACAAGACATTTTAAACAAATTAAAATGCTTGCTATACCTTAATTAGCTTAAGTGAAATGAGGTTTGAGAATACTTCAACTTTAAAATTAAAAGTTAAAGCTATATACCTATTGTAATAACAAATTTGAGATACACATACTTTAAAAATATATAGAGCTTAAATTATGAGGTAGAATAATATTTTGATATATCTAAGTTATATCAATTTCTAAATGTATGTTTAAAGCTAAAAAACAAAAAGATAGAGGTATGTCAAATGTATCATCTAAGATTGAAGAACACTGACCTGAATAAAAATTGAGCTCATATTAGGAAGCAGAAGTAATGTCCAAGCAAGCATCACTGACTGCCATATAACTTTGACAGCATATCCTAACAGCTTTGGAAGTTCTGGTCATTAAGTCAAAAATTTAGCAAGCTCATAAATTTCTTAGCAAAATTATGTCAGAAATGGTGTCATAAAAGTTTTTATAACGCTATTATAACTTTTTCTTTTGTTCAGTTTACAAAAAATTTAATTGCAGACACTGTGTGTGCCTCTCTTAATGAAAATCATTAATAGTAAATCTAGCTTCAAATGAACAAAAAAATTAAAATAAATTTTAAATTTATTTATCTAATGTCAAAATAAAAGTAAAAACTGCTGACACATAAAATACTCAGAGCAATAGACCTATAGTGAGAAAAATATTATCTTACTTACTTGTAATAAATAGAGGTGGTTCATGCATATGATGAAGAGTAATTTGTTCATTCTTAAGAACTTGTTCATGTGGCGTTGAACCTACAGCCAATTAGAAAATCACAGAGTTTTAGGAATCTTCAATATGTCATTCACAGGCTTATCTAGTTAAAAAAAGGAAGATATGCCAACATCACTGTTGTTTTAATTATTTTAAGGGTGCATCACCTTATTTAAATCCAAAATAGTTTTGGGGAACAAAATGGAATGTTAATAGATCTAGTCTAGAATTTAACAAATATATACCTCTATAGCCAACCAAATAAACACGAAATCCTTCCATGGCAAAGCTCATTGCATGATACTGCATTCGAGGACTTCTTCCAATGTCGCCGAGAACAACTATGCATATATTTCTAGGAGTCTTCACTATTTTATTTAGAAGAAGATAAAGACATAAAAATAAAATAGGTGTATAAAATAATATGTCGGAAGTGAGTGACATGATTTAGAATTTTAGATTCTATTATGTAGTCTAGATCTACTGTCTTTAGTCTTAGTGTCTCTTAGTAAGTTAATCAAGTCCAGAGCCATTGAT